TTATTCCAATTAAATTAAAGTTGATACTCTTTGCTTTTGTTTTGTTTTGTTTTGTTTGTTTTTTTTTTTTTTAACTCCAAAAAGAACTCAAGTGGATGAAAACGACATTACGAATCTGAATCATTCTTCTACTTCTTTGACTTAGTTTATTTTTCTTCTTGTAAATTAATCTGGATTATCCTAATATTATAAGAGAAAAATAAACCAATTCAAAGCCAACCTGTACATAGTTAAATAAAACATTAGGGCGGTTGCGGGAAGAAGATTCAATCTCAAAAGACTTTAGGCACAATTAGACATATTTAGAGAGAAATTTTTGCATAAATAGGTAGCAAATTATCACAATTTTTTTTTTTTTTTTTTTTTTTAAGGTCTTTAACCATCCTCATGAATGTATGAAGCTGCTCATTTTCGTTGAAATTATTGATATTGTAATTCGCTTTCTTGTTTTGTCCTTCCTTTCCTTATATATATATATATATATATATATATATATATATATATATATATATATATATATATATATATATATATATATATATATATATATATATATATATATATATAATATTTTATGCTTTAATTTTTATTTGCTCTCCCTTATGTCCCGTATTTGGTTTCAATAATACCCATACAATTATTTTATTGACAATTGTAATCAATCTTGACTATATTATCTTGCATTTGTAAACTTAGAATTACCAATTTAAATACGCAAATTCAACATTCAATTATCTATGCATGAACAATTCTAATATAATCTTGCCTTGATATACTTTAAAATACTTATTTAAGAAAAACATTGGGCATTATCTCAATTGCGCAATGCGCGTAAAAAACTACTATATATATATATATATATATATATATATATATATATATATATATATATATATATACACACACACACACACACACACACACACACACGCGCGCGCGCGCGCACACACATACACACTAAGTGCTTGTTTGGTAATTGAAAAATTCGGTATTTTTAGAGTTTAATTTTGAGTTTTGACTATCATTGAAAATTTTATTTGGTAAATGGTAATTTGGAGCAACGAATTTGTTCCAAATCGTCAAAATTGCAGCGTTTCAAATTGGCATTTTAGGCTTTTGCCTAAAACACCCTTAATTCTTTTTAAAAAAATTGTTTTATTAATAGAAGCCTGATGGGGAGCTCAACGACCTCTTTTAATTTAAATTTCAATGTTCAGTTGTTGTTGCTGTTGTACATGTTATTATTATTATTAAATTTTGTCTTTTACAAATTAATCGTTAACATTAAACAACTAATTTTATCAAATATTTTTTTTACAAACTACTAATATAATTCGTTGATCAAACCCGCTAACACAATCATCTATTCATTATCCGCTAACTTAATGCCAAACAAGCTCTAAGTATTATAGTTATAGGATATACACATATTGATTGAGAAAAAGAAAGAAAGAAAGAAAGAATCACTTTTAACACAAATGATCAATTAACGCAAGATAAAATGAATCGAAAAGTAGCTAGGGATAGGAGAAAAAGGGGATTACGTGCGGGAAAAGTAACTCCATTATAAAGGTGGATAGATCTCGTGCATGAACCTAATTACCTAACGTACCTAACCAAGAATATGGAGCAATTAAAGCTTATGATTGGTCCGACATTGCATCTACAAATTCAAAGCTAGCATTCATTTATTTATACTGTCGGATGGTACTACGAAATATTCAATCTAACAATGCAACTCTCCCCTTTTATGCTACTGTTGAAGTATTGGGTCTTCTATACCAATGTAATTTAGATCACTACAAAAAATAAAAATAAATCATTCTTAAATTAAATTACTACAATCTATACATATTGAAGTTACTTTATTTACTTATAGATTTTCTAGGTAAATCAATAAAATTTATAGATCTTTAAACTGTAGGTATTTAATTCAATTTCGACTCTTCAAGACTTCATTCAAGTGAAAAAAAAAAAATTGAATTCTGAAAATTTAGTCATGGTTGATCTCGGTACGGGTTGTAATGGCCCGTTTCAAGGAAAAATACACTTTGCCCAAGTTTAATATTTTAACGATAAAAAATTAAAAACTAAGGATCCCTGAGTACGTACTGTTACATTCTTATCCATATTTCATCTAGGATAATATTTGATTAGTTATTTTTATATTTAATTAATTAATAAATTACATTTTTTCACGTTAGGTGGAGTCAACCAATTCACATGGTCAATACATAAAAAATCCTCATAAATTGGTTATATTAATAAAATTGGGATGTGAAACTTTAAAAAAAAATGTTAAGACAAAAGATCCCCATGCATTCAAAACAATACTTAAAAAAGATGCCCAACAAATATAAACTTTAGAATTTAAGAACTAGAGTTGTGCACATCTAGCTAATTCATCAATTTTAAATGATAATGCACAAAGTTTGTTTAATTTTAACTTCTCATTAATTGTTTTGCATTTTATTATTATTACTATTCTTTATACATGTGATGTGTAAAAGTAATGGTTCAAAAGTGGTACTTAATATTAAAATTATGATGATAATAATAAACTAATTTTAAAAATAATAAGTAAATAAATAAAACGCAATTGCATAATATATATTATATTAAAATTATTATATTAATGATAACACTTATTTTTTACTATATGTTACCCCATATTTTTGTCCATTTTGTGCGTATTATGCATGGTGTGCTTAATTGAAAAATTGGACTAACTAATGTGTCTTTGCTTATAGTTTCAACCATTTGCATAACAAAGGAAAATGAAGCATTTTGGAGAAAAATTAACTAGTTTAGGAGCTAAGAAGTGCATGAGAAGGAAGCAAAAGGTCATTTGGTAGTAACTCACCCGGTAAGAAAGTGCACAAAATTGAGCAAAGTAGCTAGGGACATAGCGTGTTTCCAGCACTAGTCACGGGTGTTGACATGCACATCAATAGTTATGCTATGCAACCGAATGCACCATGCGCATGTGCATACAAGGCAAAACGATGTCGTTTTGACTAAAAATGTGCGTCCCATTTAAAAAAAAAATCAGGTTTGATTCTAGGCAATAGCATTATTGTGGATATATAGTTATGAATTTCTGGATATTTAGTTCATTCATTGTGGATATTTAGTTCATTAAATTCATTCTAGATATTTACTTCATTCATTTACTGTGGATATATAGTTATGAATTTATGGATATATAGTTATGAATTTCTGGATATATAGTTATGAATTTATGGATATTTAGTTCATTCATTGTGGATATTTAGTTCAATCATTGTGGATATTTAGTTCATTCATTGTGAATTTTTACTTCATTAATTCACTGTGGATATATAGTTATGAATTTGTGGATATATAGTTATCAATTTGTGAATATATAGTTATGAATTTATGGATATATAAAAATACTATTGCCGGGAATCGAACCTGATTTCTTTTTTAAGTGGGACGCGCGTTTTTTAACCAAAACGACATCGTTTTGTATCGTATGCACCATGCGCATGGTGCATTCGGTTGCACAGCATAATTTGCGCATGAACATGAGGAAGGCCTGGACCGGTCATGGGCCTTAACACGCTCGTGACCCGGTCGTCTCCACAAATGGGCTACGACATGTTCATGGCGCCGCCGCCCGTGAGATGGCCCATGTTGTGCGAATAAACATGTAATTTTCGTATCTAAAAAGAGAGTCCAAAAAGTGAGAGTGAATATAGTTGCATAGGGCGTAGAGAGTAGAGTGAGGTCTGATAAGTGGGAAGAAGCCATTCATCATGTCAAGCCTACAAATTATGCAGCTGAAAGCATACTATAGTTCATAAAGCTAAAGGGCTTTCTTGTCTTTTCTCTCCCTAGTTAGTTATAACCGTTCATCTCTGGTATATAAGTGTATATGCTTTGTTCTTTTCCCGCCTACAGTTTATAGAACACACCTTTGTAATTCAGCTCTCTAGCTATGAAAGCTTCTCTCCTTTTCTTGCCATGAACTGAGCCATTCCATCAAGGTCTCGAACCCTAAACTAAGAAAACACTTTTTCTTTTATCTAAAAGGGTAGATTCCTCTTGTTTTTCAAAAAAAAAAAAAAAGGTAGATTCCTCCTATTTCCATATTCAGTACCCAAAGGAGGTGTAGCTAGATTTATTCTTCTCGGTTGAATTCCCAACCTTAAAAGTTTGACAAAACATTTGAGATGATTAAATCACAGTGACTCATCAATGACTCAACAGACAGGGTCTAATGTCAGTACACACAAGGAATCTGTCACTTTGGACATAATTCCCAAACAAATTGTGAGTATTGATGCCAAATACCTTGTGTTCAGATGACACATCTGTGGCTCCCTTTGAGGGAGGTCATAGGATTGAACCTCGGTGGTGGGATATTGAGAAAGTATAGAACAATTTGTCTTTGATGATGATTTCTCAAAAGTTGAGGTTAGGAGTTTTGGAGATCTTGAATGATTTGTACTTTTATTTGATATTTAACTTCCCTAATAATAATAATATTATTATACTAATCCGCATGGGCAGCTCAACTGGTCATAGAGGTGAAACTTTGAAAGAATGATCAGGGATTGAGCACCGATCTAACCTTTGTGGTTCCTCTTTTTGGAAGAATAATATTATTATACTAATAATAATAAGAGAAAATACCATTTTTAGACCCTCCACTATAATACATGTATTAATTTTAATCTTTGATTATTAAAATTTTCAAATTAAGTGCATGACTATTTAATTTATATCACATTAGATTCTTAACTATTAACATTTACAAATTAGGTGCATGACTATTTAATTTGTATCGTGTTTGATCCTTACTATGCTATTAGACGATTAAACTAAAAAACAAATGCAATTGAATTCTTTAACAATGTAAAATGATGCAATCGAGCTAAATGTGACCAACATGCCATGGTCGCCTATTGTAAGAGCTTATTTTGACGCTTATTCAAAAAATTAATTAATTTTGCAAAATACTAAAACAAGTACACTCATCCTCTTCACCGCTCTGTCCCCGTCGCCGCCTCTCACAGTCTCACCCCTCTCACCGTCTCTCTCTGTCTCGCAGCTTTTCTGTGACTCAGTCTCGGCGTCTCCGGCTCTCCGCCCTCGGCGTATCCCGCACAAGAGTTCGAGTACAGAAGCGATTCTTACCAGGTATAAAATCCCCCTTTTCTATCTATGTTTTTCCTTGTATATGTGTAAATTGCTTCTTGAAATCGACCATTTTGTGATTTTTTTTGGCTGTATTTACAATTTAGGTTATTCCCCTTTGGGTTGAATTTGTTTCATATAAAAATCTTTAACTTTATTCTGTTTAATTTCTTTTTCATTTTTTTTACAAATTTTCGGCGTTTGGTGTTGTAATTCTAAACTGCCACTAAAAAAAAAAGAAGTTATTACTTATATAATATAATTTTCAATTTTTCATATTGCTTGGTTTATTGAATTGATATAGAATTTAGCATTTAAAAGGTTCCCATCTGTTATGGTTGTTGTTTAGTCCATGAACCATGTCTGCGATGATGTTGGTTTAGTGGGATCATCCCACTAAATTTTCCTTATTTTTCATCATTTTCCATGTGTCAGTGATCTGTTTGTAAAGCTCTGGCTTGAAGCTTATGCTTAATTTGCTTGTTGAGTTATTGTCCATAATGAACCAACAATTCAATCTTTTGTATTGGGAAAAAGTGATTTTGTTCCTTGAGTTACCCAATACTTAAACATGCATAACAGTGCCTTGAACAATGCTTTTAGGTACTCTACTGGCTCTCCAGCCTAACAAGAACAGATGAGAACTTTATCACTAAATCTGGGACTTCAAGTGAGGTGTTGCACTGATTGCACCAGATACATCTCCAAGTGAGTAATTTTCTGTATGTGGCATTGTTTAATTCTGTTTAAAAAATTATTTTTAAAAGTTAAATTATGCAATATGATACTATAGGAAGTTAATAAGTACTTGATATAGATGAACTTGCCCTTCCTCTTGCCTTGTGGATCCTTTTAATTTCACCATTACTGTCTAGTGTAACACTAAACATTAAATGTTGTTTGTGAACTCTTATCTGATATCTAAAATGTGAGTGTTGAACTCTAAAACCTGGAGTTCTAACTTATATGTAAGAATACTAAAACTTGCACTTCTAACTTATATATAAGACATATAGTTAGTTGTAGATGGTGACTTTTTAGTTCCCAAGATAAATAATCAAGTATTTTGATCATCTAGAGAAAAAAGTAATCCAATGCATGTGATTTTGTTAATAAAACGATTACACTGTTGCTTTTGCAAATGACCATAAACTGAACCCTAGTCTACCACTTTGCATTTTATACTTAAATGCTAATATTGAAAATCTATGTGAGGGCAAATGATGAATGTATATTTTGATGCCATTATATTATATTTTATTATATTATATATAGTAATAATTTTTTAAAAATATCATTAATTTAAAATGTTATAATCACATATAATGTATATGGTTAGTTATAATTCCAAACAAAAATAGATTGTATATTTGCTATATATAAGCATGCTAAAATTATTGTGTAATTGCTATTTTAAATAATTATGTATTTTTGAAGTAGCCAAAACAATAGTTTGCTATATAATTAAAATTTAATTAGTAGTTTGTTTATATAATCAAATTGATGCTAAGTCTATGATTAGATTTAAATTAGTTAGTTATTTATTGTTGAACTTTATCTTGAAATCATGCATTCTTTTGCAATTATGATATTTAAATAATTGTGCTATCATACTATATAGATAATCCCAATTTATGTATGTTGATAAGTTTAAGAGAAGGCAAATAAATATGTTATAACATTTTTAAAAAAAATTCTATTGTAGTATATTATTATTGAACAGTTCTGTATTATTATTATTATTATTATTATTATTATTATTATTATTATTATTATTATTATTATTATTATTATTATTGTTGTTGTTGTTGTTGTTGTTGTTGTTGTTACATAATCATATGGATGCAATGTTTGTAGTTAGCTTTAAAAAAATAATCATATATTCATATGTATGATGCTTTATTTATAAATTGATTTGTGTATTTTAATATTAAATTATACTAATTGCTTAGACATATTTATATAAAAATTAATTTGCTAACTTACAGCATACATATAAATCAATTTATGTATGTTGTTGAGTAATAAGGAAAGCAAAAAAAAAAAAAAAAAAACCAGAGGTGCATTTATTAATCAAATTGATGACTTATACCATACATAAAATAAATTTATGTAATATATTAGTAAGTTATTCTAAATTTAGATTATATTAACAGTTTATAAGTAGTTTTTTTTTTTTTTTTTTTTTTTTTTTTTTTTTTGGCATTACTGTTTATAAGTAGTTAGTTACTAATATCTTTGCTAACTTACACCGTACATAAAATCAATTTATGTATGTTGTTAAGTAACTAAGTTATTTTTTTTATATGTTTATATGGAGTGGCAAGTTTGTGAGTAGTAAATGTAAGGGCATTAAGCATTTTATATTAAAAATAGAATTAGAATTTGAAACCATTAATTGTGATGGTAACAGATTTGGATCTTTATTTACAGTTAGGCCTGGGCATAATATGGGTTTCACCCGAATTTTTATCGGGTTCAACCCGAAAAACTCATAATTCAGTTCTAAACCCGGCAATGTGGCGCCCATCTCAACAAATGAGTTCCGTCCTCAAAAGAAATTATAAACCAAAAATCTTAGCCTTTGGGCACAGATTCATATGCTCTGCCATAGCTCTTGAAACCCCGTCTGTTTTCTCAGATCAACATGGACAAAACTGTGCTGTATCCGATCAATGTTGCTCCCTCGAAGAACACAGTAAATCAACAAACCTCGCCCTCTCTAAAACCAAAATTCTGCACTCTCGTTTTCTGAGAGCCCACATTTTAGACAAAGATTACTCAGCTATCAAGTATTTGTTGGATGGGTACTACAAGTGTTCAAGAATAGACTATGCAGTCAAATTGTTCGATAAAATGGCTATCCCATATACGTTTTGCTGGAACCTGATGATTTCGGGTTGTAACAAGGCTCTATTGTTCAGTGAGTCATGGGAGTACTTTTGTAGGATGCATGTGTTAGCTATATGTATGGATAGGTTTACATATGGAGGAGTTCTGTCTGCTTGTGAAGCTTTGCAATCTGTGGCTTTTGGGGAGCAGGTTTATGGTCTTGTAATGAAAAATGGGTTCTTTTCAAATGGGTATGTAAGGTCTGGAATGATAGATTTGTTTGTGAAGAGTTGTAGGTTTGATGATGCTTTAAGGGTTTTTTATGACTTTCAGTGTGATAATATAATTTGTTGGAATACAATTATATCAGGAGCGGTTAAAAATAGAGAATATTGGGTTGCTATAGATAAGTTTATTCAAATGTGCACTGGATCTTTGATGCCAAATGGTGTTACAATCTCAAGTGTATTAAAAGCTTGTGCTCAAGTTAAAGAGTTTGAGATGGGGAAGATGCTCCATGTGTGGGCAATAAAATGTGGTTGTGCAAAAGATGACTTTGTGGAGACCGCTCTAATCGATATGTATGCCAAAGGTGGGTTTATGAATGAGGCTGTAAAGGAATTCATTCAGAAGCCAGTACGGAACGTTGTTTCTTGGACAGCTATGATAAATGGTTTTGTCCAGAATGATGATTATGTTTCTGTGTTTCAGTTATTTGATGAAATGAGAAAAAAGGAGGTGGACATAAATAGTTATAACATCTCCAGTGTGCTCACAGCTTGTGCTAAGCGGCCTAAGCCAGTTATGAATATAGAAGCAATGCAAATCCATTCCTTGATCTTTAAAGCTGGATTCTATCAGGACCCATTGGTTAAAACTTCTTTGATCAATACGTACTCAAAGATTGGGGCAGGTGATTTATCTGAAATGGTTTTTGCAGAGACTGAAGATCTCAAGCACATAGGCTTGTGGTCTAATATGATTTCTGCTTGTTCACTAGGCTGGAATCCCTCTATGGCAATCCATTTGTTTCAGAGAATGTTTCATGAGGGGTTGAAGCCTGATGAGTTCTGTTGTTCTAGTGTGTTAGGTATTGTGAACTGTCTATACCTAGGAAGGCAGATTCATAGCTACACTCTTAAATTTGGCTTAATCTGTGATGTTATTGTGAGCAACTGCCTTTTCACAATGTATTCCAATTGTAATAGTTTATTGGAAGCTTACACAATTTTTAAACTTATTGAATGCAAAGATAATGTTTCTTGGGCGTCAATGATTTCTGCTTTTACAGAACATGGTTATATAGATAAATCGATTCAGTTGTTTATAGAGATGCTCTTGGAAAAAATTATGCCTGATGAAATGACATTAAGTGCTGTCCTAGCTGCATGTTCCACCCTTCAGTCTTTGAAGATCGGTAAAGAAATTCATGGCTTTTCTCTTCGATGCAGAATAGATGAGTCGGTCATTGCTGATAGTGCACTGGTGAATATGTACACAAAGTGTGGAGATCTAGTTTCAGCAAGGAGATTGTTCCTTATAATGCCCTATAAAGATAAGTTTTCATGTTCCTCCTTGATTGCTGGATACACTCAAAGTGGTTATATTGGTGAATCCTTTCAAGTGTTTCATGAAATGCTCATGAATTATTTGCATGTCGATGCTTTCACAATTTCATCTATAGTTCGCTCTGCTGCACATTTGAATCGATCTGGAATTGGTACCCAACTGCACGCCCAAAGTATAAAATGGGGATTAGAATCAGATTCTTCGGTAGGAACTTCAATGGTTATGATGTATTCAAAATGTGGAAGCATTGACGAGTGCTGCCAGGCATTTAAACAAATACGGAATCCCGATTTGATTAGCTGGACAGCCATGATTGTAAGCTATGCTCAACATGGAAAAGGAGTTGAGGCTTTAAAAGTTTACGAGCTCATGAGGAAATGTAACATCAACCCTGATTCCGTGACATTTTCTGGTCTTCTTTCTGCTTGTAGTCATTCTGGTTTGGTAGAAGAAGGGTATTTCTTCCTGAATTCAATGAAAGAAGATTATGGGATAGAGCCTAATTACCGTCATTATGCCTGCATGGTAGATGTTCTTGGTCGTTCAGGTAGACTGAAAGAGGCTGAAAGGTTCATTTATACGATGCCTATAAAACCTGATGCTTTGGTCTGGACAACGTTACTTGCTGCTTGCAAGGTGCATGGTGAAATTCAGCTTGGCAAGCTAGCAGGTGAAAAGATTATGGAACTGGAACAGTGTGAAGCTGGAACATATGTTTCTTTGTCAAATATCTGGGCAGATGTGGGCCAGTGGGACGAAGTCTTGAAAACCCGAGGTGCAATGAGAGGAACTGGGGTAGAGAAGAAGCCTGGATGGAGTTATTTATGAAGCTTTGTCCTATAATTCTACGTCCTCAGCAGTTTGTGCGCCTAATTCCCTCCTTCCAACCAAACGGCCATAGGCTTAAAATCGTCTGACAGCTTTCTCTCTATACTCCTCCCAAAGCCGCCCTCTTCTGCCTTTCTCCGCTGTTCAGCACCACCAGTTCTTACCAGGTAGTAAAAGCCCTGATCTTTCGGATTCCATTTCTTTCTTGAATCCCGGTGTAATATCACGAGAAGTTCCTGCTTTTTGGTGTCTCTTGTGTGTGCTTTAACTTGTTTGCTCTAATATTCTCTTAATATTTGTGGATTTTTGTAGTGAAGTTGCTGTTTGATTTGAAATTAGGGGCTTCTGTAACTTGATTCAAAAAGCTTTTATAAAAAAAGGTGCAATTTTGTGTGCAAAAATCGGATTTTTTGCTTGTAATTTAAGTGTTTATTTGAATTCGAGTGTTGTGGGGAATTCGTGATCTTTGATATGATCACAAGAGTTGCGATATGTGCTTGTGAATTTTTAAATGATATATTGTTTTGCAGGTTAAGACTGAAGGTGTAAAGGCTTCAATTTTAAGGATGGGGAAAGGTTTGAAGAGTGGCGTGGGCAAGTCTGCATCTTACCAGCTCAGCTCTTCAAGGACAGGGCTAAGAATCTGGTGGATGATCTGCAGGGATGTTCACTAATTTGCAGTCCTCGAGGAAAGAGAGCCGTAAGTCCACTCTTTGAACCTCTGTTGGGTTGTGTTTGTGATTGCGAATTACTCCGTATGATTTAAGTGCCCTTGTTGTTATAAATGTAAATTTTTGGATGTGGACTTTGATCTTTATGGATGGAATTGCAGGGAGGGAGTTTGGGGTTTAACACATCAGTCTTCTTCGCCCTGTTCACTCTCCGAATTGAAGCTTTGAAAATGGCGAGAGGCAAGAAGGAGCTTCTTACGTCGGCCCCATGGAGCCATGGAGGGTAGGCCCCGAAGAGGACGAAAAGTTCAAGGACGCAAAGCTGAAGGTTACGAGCCAGCCTGAACATTCTTATGTTCATCTGTATGAGTTTTCCGGTGGGTGGTGGTAGCGTCTGAACTGGGTCCACCTTGCAAGGTGGACCTGTGTCCACAGAATAATTTGTCATTTTCAACCCTATGAAATGGTATTGCAACTAGAGTTTGCCAATCATAATTTAGGCAGAGCTATTGCATAATTAAGACATTGACATTGCCTTAATTACCGGTGATATTTGACCCAAAGATGTTGATCTTATTGTAAATTGAGTAAATAACCAAAATGGTACCTTGACTATAGCTAAATTCACAAATTGGTCATTGACTTTCAATTTTAACCAATTAAGTCCTTAACTTTACAATTTTAACACAATTTGGTCCTCTGTCTATTTGACCGTTTGTTGACTGTGATTTTTGAGAATATATATGTAATTTCATGGTCCATCGTTGGGTTTTTAAGGTTCCGGTTGCATTTTCAGATCGCACTGTTACATTTTAATCCATTGCCGAAAGCAATCTACCAAATCCGGTCGTCTTTCTTCATCATCCCTTTGGATTCAATGTTGTTGAGTTCGTACCAGAGCGAAGAAGACGACGTGTTTCCGAACCAGTGCAACGTCATCCTGGAGGCCTCCACGTGCTCCGACGAGAGCTGAAGATTCTTCTGGAGATCGTCGATCACGGTCAACAAATGGTCAAATAGATGGAGGACCAAATCGTGTCAAAATTACAAAGTTAAGGACTTAATTGGTTAAAATTGAAAATTGAGGACCAATTTGTGAATTTAGCTATAGTCGAGGGACCATTTTAGGTATTTACTCTTGTAAATTCATGAAGTTACTATTACAACTTCATCAACTTACTACTATATATTTATGAAATCACTATCTTAGGTATATTATTTAGTCACTATTGCAAATTTATTAATTCATTACCGCGGGTTCATTAAGTCACTATTATAGATCCATCACACAATTATTGAAACGATACATTGAATAATATATATTTAAGTAATGATTGATCAATTGATGTCAGTTTAGCAAACATATAGTATTGTTATAATGAATCTAAAATCATATTCAATTCATTTGAATTTTTAATGAACCGGCAATATTAATATAATGAAGATGAGTGCATAATGTAAAATGAACTTTGGTCTATAATATAATTTGTCTATCACAGCCCACCATCCTACTATCATTCCTATGACTTATCTCCCCACTACCTATTATCTTACTATTCATTTTTCTACAACTACGACTACATCCATTACTATTTTTCTTACATTATCTATTACCAAGGGCGGGGCAGGCTGGGGGCACCCCAGTATATATAGTATTAATTATATGCTTTAGTAGACCTAACTAATACACTATTATATATATATATATATAGAGTTCTACTCTGTAGTTCCAAATCTTACTTCCTGATGTGATAGACTTTGATAAGCAAGTTTTTTCATGTGGATCCAATACAAGTGTCTACATCAAAATTTTGTGTGTGATGAGAGTAAAAATTTGGAGTAGAAAATGAGAGTACAAATATCATTTTCCATATAAAAACAAGTAAAGATTTGAGATACTTTAGTTGGTTTTCAATTAAAAGTATACATATTGTGTATGTTAATTAAAAGCCCATCCAGATATATCTCCATCTTATTTGTTAGTGAAAGATGAGCAGTAGCACAGTAGTGTGTAGGGAGTGAAGTCAATTCAAGCTGAATCATAGTTATCCCCTTCTGTCGAGTCTCCATCTTTGAGCGAATTCAAATGGTTTAGCGACAGCTCCGGGCGGTACTGCTGAACCACAAGAACCGAAGCCGTTGTTGGGAAGTCTGGGTAAGTTAACAAGCTCCCCACCGGTCCCAATTCCGGGCACTCACCCTTCTTCCCCAACGCCGCCACTATCTCCCCTTCCGCCACTCTTCCCACCACCAACAAATTGCAACGACTGAACCCCTTAATCGCTTCGATCGCCTCTGCGCCGTTTTTCACTGTCGTCTCCACGTACTTCACCGATTTGTTCTTCATCGTTCTCTGCTTGAAGTCCGCCAGGAAGCCTTCATCGTCCTCCGAGGATCTTGTTTCTTGGTTCACGTCTAGTGTGACGCTTTGCGCGGCGATCTCCGGGTCTAATATGAAGCGGGCCACCTGTAAACTGATACCGGGATGCTCCGCCATGCGCTCGCCGTAGGCGAGCGCTTCACGGTCGTCGTGGCCGCCGAAGTATAAGACGGTGATGGAGTAATCAACGTTGCTAGCGGAGACATGCGACGTTCCGCCCAGCCCTCGGTCCACCAGGATACCGACCGAGCACGGCGCGTACTCGAGCACGCGCCGGTTGACATGCCGGAATTCGTTCCGGGTCGTCTCGAAATGCCCGTCGAGCTTCTGGTGCTTATGGAAGGGGAGGATGACCATGGCCACCCTCTTCTGCGTGGCGCACTGGGCGACGTCTTCGTGCATGCTGGACAGGGCGGAGATGGCGGTGGTGGGGCGGATAGACACCTTGCTGAGCTGCTCGAACGTCTCGAAAGCGACGACGATCTGGTTGGAATCGGTAATGGCGCCCTTGTTCCAGAACGGCAGCCCGTTCTTCCTGGCCTTGTGGCACATCAGAATGGCGGAGGGCCGCTCGGAGAGCTCCATGAGGTGCATGGCGTAGACCCTGAGCTCCCTCTTCTCCGTGCCCCGAGAAGCCTCGATGAGATTTATGAGCGAAGGGATATTCCGAGTGCTGTGGAAACATGCCAAGATTCGGAGTTGTCCGCTCGAATCCTTCTTGGTTTGTACCGATCTCCGCTTGTATTCCGTCACCGCCATTTTCGCCGGTTTGTATACTGCAATCACTAATGGTGTCGTGATGAAGGTGGTGAACAGAGCCATTAACACCATTATAGCAAACGTTTGATCATTCAGCACCTGTACCAAACAGAACTTATAACTTATTAGTAACTTAAAATAAACTATAAGCTCATAAATAAGTTCTGCCAGAAGAGTGCGTGACTAACTATTAGCTTACCCCTCTATCTTTTCCAATGTTGAGGACAATGAGCTCCACTAAACCTTTGGTGTTCATCAAGAAGCCGAGACTTAGAGCCTCATTTAAAGGCATCTTGCACAGGACAGAGGCAATAATAGTGCCAACAATCTTTCCGAAACACGCCGTGACGATGACTAAAACCAGAAGCCCCCAAGACTGCGCCCCTCGGATGGTGGCAACGTCGGTCTTCAACCCACTGGACACGAAGTACAAAGGGAGGAACAGCCCGGAAACAAGGTCCTCAACTTTCTCAACCAGAGCACCGGCGAGCGGCCCTTCTTTGGGGACAAGAACACCCACCACAAAAGCCCCAAACAACGCATGAATCCCAATCGTGTCGGTCACAAACCCGGCAGCCAACACCGCCGCCAGTGTCGCACACACGTATAGCTCATTCACCGGCTCCCCTTCCGAGCACCGCCGCGCCATCCAGTTGAATGCCGGAGGGGCGATGAGTATGCAAAGGAGCACGAACCCAGCCCCGCAAAGGAGCACCCAGAGTGAAACCAGGGGGGAGTGGCCTGTCCCCGAGAGGGCGATGGCGAGAGCCAGCAGAATCCACGCCGCCACGTCGTTAACCGCGGCGGCGGACATGGCCATTCGCCCGACGTCGGTGGTTAAGAGCTTGAGCTCGGCGAGGATACGAGCTAAAACTGGGAATGCTGTGATGGAAAGTGCCACCCCCATGAAGACGAGAAACGGGCCCTGCTTCACTCCTTCCGCGATTGTTCCTCGGAGCACAAATGACGTCCCCACTCCTAACGCAAATGGAAGGCTGATCCCTGCTAGGGCGATGCTTAAAGCCTGCTTCCCCGTTCTACGAAGCGACTTGGGATCAAGCTCAAGCCCCACAAGAAACAGAAAGAACAGGAGACCCAGATTCGCCAAGGTATCTAACACCGTCAGGCTCCTCGGAGGAAACACCGTATTCAGATAGTCTTTGTTCCTCCCTAACGCCGATGGACCAAGCAAAACCCCTCCCTGCCAAAACAACACATATAACATGTCAACTAATAGCCAAGGAATAAGTTTATTTCTGTCACATTTTAGAGTGCTGAATTTGACCATTCAGATCTCAATCTGTCACTTGTGCTGGATTTGACCTTAATTCTGGCAAATAATTTTTCTAGCTTTGAAAGTAAAACTAGTCAAAAACAAGAAATATATATCAACTTACAATAATCTCAGCAATGACGCGAGGCTGTCTGAGTGGTCGGAGAATATAGGCGAGCACTCGGGTGAGAACAACGACCAGACATATCTGCAGAATTAGCAGAGGAAGGGCATAGTCTAAGGGACTGTCTCCTTGAAATGAACCATTAGAGGTTGCCTTCATAGGGCTACATTTAACTGTGCCATTCGTAACCATTTTTATTTTGACCTCAAAATTCCAATTCCTTATTTCTCGATCCTCTCCTCTAACTGCTGCAGAGTAGATTAAAAAAAATTAAAAATTGTCAAACATAATGAATTTTGTTGCCAAGGTTAAGGAATGCAAAGAATCCTTTTATACTGATTGGATAAACTTTGACATCCTCTGATGAGGTGTATTAATTAATTAATGGTCTAATGGGTAGTATAATTTTACCTTTTGGTAAAGTTATTACAATTACTTTATATAGATTAATAAAATTCTTATAATATTCACTAACCAAATGTCAATAATATCTAATAAAAGCATGCATAATATATGATCGTATTTAATATGTTTGATATTGATATTAATTTGCACCGTTACGTTGAAATTAACATATATTAGTGAAGGAAGAAAAAAAAAACAATATAACCTCATATTAGTACCGATGAGGTCGGTTAACACTTGGCATATAATAAGTATATATTTTCCTAAATAATATTTTGTTGCTATCATAACTGTTTTAAAAAGTCAACTTTATTTTATCTACTAAAATACAATATCCCTAAATCCTAAGAATCTTCGCATTTCCCTGCCCCTACGATGTATATATAATAAAATTTTAAGTTTGTTGACGTGTTGGGCCACATCTGTGGGATCAATTCCATAAAAAAAAAGTGAGAAAATAAAAAGTTGTTAATTGTTTATTATGGTTTTAAAAAAACCAAAAAAGAGAGAACTAAAATTCAAAGTTCACTACAGCTTGAAAGATTAAGAAGTACATCAGAATCCTACAAAATGTTGGCCTGGTTCTTTATACTTATAAAAATATTTAAAAAATTAAGATTCCATGGTCCACCAAGGGATGTATTATTATCCTTTATAAATTTTTAATAACAACAAATATTAGTAATATTAAGTTATAATTTGACATAGGGTATTATTCATTGTGGTTAAATATTTAAAAACATAATAAATCTCGATCAAAGTTATATCCCTAATTTATGTCAATGTTTTTAGTGCTAATCATTTTATACCTTGTGCTTTTAGAGTTATAACTTTCATTACCTTTTTCATTATTGTTACCATGTACATGCATTTACAATATATTTTCTTATATTCTTTAATGATAATAATATTTCTAGTCATTATATATTTGAATTAATATAATAAATAAATTTTATTTCATATAGATTTTAATTAGAAAGATTTGTTAATTATTTTTAAAAATATAAATATTAGACATATATTTTTGCGCACCGCGCATAAAAAACACTAATATATTATATATGTGTAAATTATTCATAAAGTAATTGCTTTTATTATGAGTTTATTAGATAAAATAGTAGCAATAGTATAAAATAATAATAATAATAATAATAATACAAATAGTATTACGTAGTAAAGAAGTAAATTGATTATGAGTGGCAATTTTGAACTTTTGCACCTTGGATGGAAAACTATATGAAACAAAACAAATTGGAATCTGGTAGGATTTTTTGAATATTCAGTTTCAAAACATGTGAGCGAGATGCAGACCACATAAGTGTCAACAAACATCCTCAAAAGTCGACACAACGTGTCTCCTCCCTCACTGGCTGCCGCCACCATCTTTTCCTTCCCTTCCCCTCTGGGCCTAAAAATTTACTTAAAATACTTTCTTTAATCATATATGTCGCTCATATTAAACTTACTAATTAAAGTCCCCATACTAATTTATTCTTGTGTGGATAGTAAAGGTGGATTGAGTCAGTGTGATTTACATCCTCACACATGCTTTATCGGATCAGAGTGTGGAGGCCCTTAGGATTAGAAATTTAATTTTTTGAGACAAGAAAGAGTTTCAAGTGTACCCGCATAGACTTACTAACTAGTTTAATAAACAGTATTTTGAAAAGAAAAATTAAAATTCTAACATTGACAGAGACAGAAATACTTTGTTGGGCCCTCTTTTATTTAATGACTTATCGTAATTATGATCATATATATCTGTTATTTTAAACTTACACAACTATATTACTATAGAATCGTTCTAAACTCACCACCTACCAACTCCATTAAACCTCAGTTCTTTTAGTTTCTTTATAATATAAATCCCCAGAATCACATTTTCACTATTATATTCATCTACCAAGTAACCCTGCAACCCAAACTTATAATATATATGCATCGAGAGAGAGAGAGAGAGAGAGAGGGACCTGAACCTTGAGAATTGAAGTTGGAGAAAATCTATGAGGGAATTGAATGATCTCACTGCAGCACTTACTCCCTTCAGTTGCCCAGAAGAAAATATATAACGATCAAGAAAAGCAAATTTATTTCTTTTTAATTTTTTTTTTTGGAGTTGAAATATAATTCTTGGGTTTTAAAGCAGTGGATGGGCTGAAGATGAGAGCGAGAGAGAGAGAGAGAAAAAGGTACTGAAAATGCTCAGAGATATGATTGTGGAGCTATGGAGATGGTAAGAGAGAAATATGAACCGAAGACTCATGGAGAGAATGCCTTCCATTTCTCCGTATATATAGAATCGCCCACGTTCTCCCACTCCCCAAAATGCCCTCCCTTTCATAACTTGTCACTACTGTAGCAATAGGATAAAATGGTCCACACATCCTGACATCATACATTTTACCCAAATCCTCGACTCGGTCTTTCGTAAACAATAATTGAACATGTAATAATGTCATTAATGTGTGTGTTTATTTATTTATTTATTATTATTATTATTATTTATAAATAAATTCAGGTTTCCTAGTTCCACCATAACATATCTTGTACCCATAAATCTGTTGTTATATTATAGATCAGGGTTCATCATGTACATAGTAAATTCTGTTTAGATTTTATACATGTCATTAATATATGATTGTAGTATATTTGCAAACAAATAATACTCGGAATATCGGGTAATCGATCCATGGGGAAGTGATTGTATTTAACACTAGTTACTAATTTATTCATTAAAGCTAATCCTAACAATAGACTTAGGATGATTGCATTAAATAAATAAAATAAAGCAGTGATTTGGTTTTGAAAACAAAGTAGAGAGATTGAGATTTTTGGGATTTAAATGTTTAATCCCCTAGTGCCTAACCTAATGTAATATTAAATCTGAGTTCATACGAGTGTGAGAATACAATGTGGTATAGAGCTACTCTCATAGTCACTAACACTAGTGAATTTTCACTCTCGTGCGATAAACACACAATAAAACAAGATCAAGCATCATAAATTCCTAACTACTACCATCTCTCGATGTGCAATAATCAAGAATTAAACTCCCTAAATGAATTACCATTTCTCAAGGTGCAACAATTAGGTGCAATTATGTGTGCCCTAAATTATGTCCAACTCTCGTTGTGACACAAAGAAAACAAACGAAGCAGGTAACTATGACCACTAATTACAAGCATCAAACAATAAAATCACAATTGCAACACAAGTATTAAACCCAAATAATAATATATTAAAGAATTTGAGAGCTCGGGCACATAAGTTAATAAATACTTTTACCCAAGAATCTCTAATGGAATTATGATCTAGACGATTTTCTCAAATCTCCCTAGTCTTCTTCTTGCTTCCCAAGATAACTTGTGGCTCTTGATTTCTCTCCTTCTTGTCTCCAAAGATCTCTAAATGAATATTAGAGTTGAGGAATAGGTGATTTTATAGCTAAAAGCCTAAAACCAATCCCGGTTGAAATAGAAATTTTATGTAAAATTGGATTGAAATTACATCTAGGGCAAAATTGGAATTTCTCATCTTTCATAATGAATTGCCGCCTTTTATTGAAAATTAGTGCTGGCATCTTTATTTATTGTAATTAAGCATTGCTTTCTTTTGGAATTTAGCAAATCAGCGCCTTTAGTAAATCAACACTACTCCCTTTTGTTTTGGAAATAAGCGCGGCACTTTTGCTGCTCGACTTCGACGCGTCGAACTTGCTGTGTTTGTGTCCTTTGATTCATTTTAACTTTAAATTTGTCCTATGACTTTCCTTACTTATAACTTTAATCTGTAATGGTTCAAAAACATTAATAAATACCGTAAAATATTCAAAAAGAATGTGAATTATAATTAAATAATAAAATAAAGAATTATGTAATTAAATCACCAAAATCATGACCCTAAGCCTAACAAATATAGATAAACCAATACTAAAAGTATGCACAATTAGACTCACATCAATATGCATTCAAAAAAAAGACTCACATCAATATATTATATACTCTCAATTAATAAATTATATATATATATATATATATATATATATATATATATATATATATATATATATATATATATATTACATTTAGCATATTATGTATATGCAGTTAATAAATTATGAACTTATTGTAAGTAATATTTAACTGCAAGCAGCAAAGGGATTAGTCAATGTATCCGACTATAAAAACTATGGGTACACCCAAAAAAAAAAATTTAACTGCATGTATATAATTCGAATGTCGTTTTAAAGGTCCATAATATAAAATAGACATTGGTCCATGATATAATTTGTGCATGAACCCGTCTCTAGGTTCATAAGAAGTTAAATCGAGTTAATTTAGTTTACAAACTTAATACTAAATTGTACACTTCTAGGCAAAAAGAATCCAACTCAAGAACCTCAATGTTTGTGGTAAGAATCAAAACTCGATCTACCCTATTGTTAAAAATAAGTTGCCCCCGAGGCTTAGCGTAGTTGGTTCGTAGCCTAACTTAATGTCATGATTGAAAGCGACAGTGTGAGGTTTGAATCGCACTAGAAGCATGTATGGGAAAAAGGCCCAAGGATGCTAGAAGATATGTATTGGATCTTTTGTGCTCACATGAAGACTAGGATCTGATCGATGAGCTGATAGTGCGACTCACAATTTACCTCTGCATAGCTCTAAGGACGGCGTCCTATGAGCTTAAGATTAATACAAAACTGAGATCATCTAAGTATTAAAAAAAAGTTTTTAAGTGGGAGTTCTCATCTAGTAGTGATGCCTTATTAGGTAACTATGGAACATTATTCCATTTTTTAAAATATATTTTTAGTAAATTGAGTTATAATTTTACTTACAATAATTTTTTCAAGCCTCCAAAAGTATAACATCAATTGTGTATGTCTTAGCTGTAACCAAAGTATTAATTAAGCCCATATGGACAGCTTAGTTGGTCACAGAGGTGAAGTTTGGGATCAAATAATTTGGGATAATCGAGTCTCACTAGTGGTGAGGGGGCCGGGCTCCTTGTACGTAATAAGCGTAAGTCTAGCCTTTATGTTCAACTAAGTTACTATAATTTACATTTTCACATATGTTCTGTCGGATCGGTGCATGGAAAGCCTTTGGGGTTGGAGATTCAACCTTTTGGGAACAAAGTATTAACTAAAAACCATCGTGAAAAATTAATTGTCTTAGATAATATATAATACAATTAAAAGAAAAAGTATTAAATGTGTGATTTATCCGATGTACAATAGTGATTACAAATTTTTTTGTTGTCATTAAAAAAATGTATTAAATGGTTGCATTTTAATGCAAAAGCGATACATATTTCAGAACTTAAAGAAAACAATGGAACATTTGACTAATTTGTAAGAATCAATAAATTTAGAAAAGTCAAATTTAATAATATGATAATGTATTTAGAAAATATTTAAGGTGTTGATGGATATTTGATATCTATGACTTTTATACATGGTGCCCCCAAAGTGAATACTATATGTTTTGAGCTTGTACACCTGCAAAGTCAATATTAGTTTCACACTTTTTAACTGCTTTATGTTGTACAAGGAGGTAAGGGTGGGCAATTCAATACGATTTTTTCGAATTGAACTAGTTTGGTTTGGTAATATATTGAACAACTAACGATAATGGATTCTTGTATACTGAATAATTCGGTAAAAATTTAAATTGAACTTAATACTGTTTGATTTTTTAAATAATAATAATGATGATGATGATGATGATGATGATGATGATGATGATGAAGTAAATCCAAGTCTATTGTTGCCTGCCCCGATGTTTAGTTCATATTCTTACTGACCTCTCTCTTCAATTTTTGATTGATTTCTTTACAACTTGCTCTATACTTTGCAGTTTTGCTGTTTGCCGCAATTATTATATGCTTCACAATTATCTCTAACTTGAGTTATTCTTACAATACTCAGTATTTTCTTTAGTTTAATTTCATGTTTCTATGAAATTAATCTGCTTCAACATCATTATAATTTTGATTTCTAGTGCTTAGAAATGTTTTTCCAGTGCTTGGAAGCACTGGAATTAATTCTTTTCCCGTGCACTGGAATATTATTTTCTAGTACTGGAATATATTTCCAGTGCACTTGAAAATTATTTTGCCAAGCAATGATGGATTGTGTCCAAAAATTAACTATATAATATTTAACACTTGTTCTCCAAATCTTAACTATACAGATGGATGATTCTTCATCTTGTCAACAAATCATTCCAAGTGAGCCAACTGAAGAGTCAGTTGGGCAAAAAAAGGCAAATGATGTTTGGTAATTAGTACTTAGTAGTGTGTTTCGACTTTGGATTGCTATTTTGTTATATAATGTTTAGACTTTGGATTTAGACTATGTGAATATGTATTGTTTGGTAGTGTGTTTAGAAAATTAGAAAATGTTAAAAATTGAGGTTCTTAAATCGAACCGAATACCGAATTGAACTAATTTTGTACCGAAATTGAACTTCTTTAAACAAAACTAAAACTGAACTGAATTATAATGTTAAACCGAATGATATCGTTTTTTAATACTGAAATACCGATACTGAAATCGAAACTGAAAAAACGAATCGTGAAACGCCCACCCTTACAAGGAGGCATACGGCTAATTGACACCATTCCTTCTCAATATATTTAAGAATGCTTTTTTTTTTTTTTTTTTTTTGTGAAGAAAAGGAAAATGTTAAATCCCCTACAGCTACCACTCATAACAAAGCCACTTCATTATTTGCCAAGTTCTAATAGGTTTGTTTTTCTTTTTTTTTTTTCCTTGAGTTAATTTCATTTTTTTTTATCCTAGATATATAGGTGTCAGTCTACTTTTAATCATTTTTCAGAACAACTCCCTTTAGGTCCTAGTATTATTGTGACATTACTATTTTTGGTACTCTATCAACAAAATCGTTGAAATGTCATTAAATATAATGACATTTTGATTTTTTTTTATATATATATACAAAGTTAGTTGACCTTCTATATATTTTTATTTTTATTTTTATTGAAAAAAATCATAATTGAATACCTAAATGACCTTGTATTTTACGGAAGGAATTTAAACGGTTTTGTTGATGGATGACAAAAAATGATCATGTCACAATAATGCTAGAACCAAAAGATGATGTTTTGAAAAAAAAAAATGAATTGCCACATATAAATCTAGGACCAAAATGGAATTAACTCTTTTTCCCCTTTTATTTGAAATGTCAACCTATTAGAACTTGTCACATATTAAGGAAATGACTATTTTGTATGTGA